TAAGAAAACTCAGAGACTTCCCAGAGCACTGCCCCCAGTTCTGGAAGGAGTTAGTAGCAGATTTCTGAGCCATCAAGACCCAGCTGCCTTCCCCATAGAGGCCTAATTCAGGAGCATATCCACAACAACAACAATGTCAAACATTTTAAAAGGTATGTGGCCCTGATTAGTCCTGATCCAATCCCTAACTACTTAAAAAAAAAAAAAAACTTCCTATATGACATAGAGTGTACAAAATCATTTTAAAAGAAGAAAATGAGACGAACAAGGACAATACACAGTGAGAGAAAGACACACAAAAACCTACTGTCAAAATTTCATTTGTGAGAGTACAGGCAAAAATCAGACATGAAACTTTAGCAAACCAAATCCATGCTCATATTCAAAGACTCCTCTTCAGGGGTCAGAAAATTTGTTTCTAAAATGGAAGGGAGGGTCAACATGAGCAGAGTCAGCTACTGCCTTTGTCATAATATAGAAAATACAGATCTGCAGTGCAAATTCTTTGTCCTGCTTTGTGACACTAGAGCTGAACTCTGTAAACATTTCTTCTTTGTCAGATAGCTTAGTGAGACTCTATGTCAAGAGAGGTGACTAGGAGACCCAGCAGGACAGATCAGGAAGAAGGTACTTCCCTCTTTCAGCTTGCTGTTTTCTGTGGCTCAGCAGGCAAGGGTCTGGTAGCATTTACCTCAGTGGCTTTCACAGGTAGCCTCGGCCTGCATCTTTCAGCAAGCTTCCTCCCCACTATGATCGAGCACCTTCTGATGATTTTCTTTGCCACTAGTAGACTGCGTGTTCCTATCATACTACAAGCTCTCTTCAAAGGTTATGATATGGCCTTGAAGAGAATAAGAGAGAAGAGAGGAATGATGCTCCCCAAAACTTACAAGAGTAATTCCATGGCTACCCCAGGCATCTTGTGGCTGGTCACAGCGGCGTCAGCCCCTCGTGGCTGCCCAGGGAGATATTTGCTTTGGTTGCAGCAGGCTTCTGTCACAGACCCATCACAATTGACTCTGCCACTCTGCAGCCCTCCTCAGTCAGGTCCTCAAGAGGTGCCTTCCCTCCCCATGACCACCCTCTGTAAGCATCTTCCTGCAGGTCAGTCTGAGTCAACCTGTGCAGCATAAGCCCTTATAAAAGGCTCCTTTTAGCCAGGCATGGTGGCACATGCCTGTAATCCCAGCACTCGGAAGGCAGAGGCAGGAGGATCCCTGTGAGTTTGAGACCAGCCTGGGCTACATAGTGAGTTCCAGGTCAGTTTCAATTACATAGTGAGACGCTGAAAAAGCACACAAAAAAATAAATAAATCAAAAGCCTCCTCTTGATGACATCCCTGCCCATTTGTGATGTCTGTCTCAGGTAGTGCCTGCTGAGGTGGTAACACAGAGGACAAGTGTGCCAAGAGCTGTCAGCAGCCTGACGTGGTAACACTGAAGATGGCTGGGAGCCAGAGAGCAATGGAGAGCAGTGAAGAGTGATGAAGAGTTGCTAGGAGTCACCATCTGTGGCAGCCAGAAGAGTTCCCAAGGCCTTCCTGCAGCCGCTTGCTCTGAGTAGCAAAGGAAGGGAGCCACTAACATTAAAACAGCTGATACCTACTTGACCTCAAAGCTCAGGGATGTTAACACTACAAGAACTACCCTTTGCCAATTTATAATTTATATATGAATTCAGCAAGAAGCCCCTGACAATTAGTAACATCTCAGAAGCATATATGGTGACTCTCCTCTTGAGAGGGCCCTGCAGAAAAGGCTAGACAATGGTGATGGTCATCAGCAGACTCAAAAATCAGCCCATCCTGTTTCCATCTTACATGTGGCTGAGAACTCATACTAGCCAGTGACAAGAGGAGCTATTAAATTTCTAGTTCCAGTGTTCACTCTCCCAGGACCAGGAGTTCTAGCTGGTTTTGCTCCATTTAGTAATTAGCTATCTTCAAAGTTATATAATTCCTTATATCAAAATGTTCCTATTCAAGTAAATTGCTAGTATGGTTTCTTCATCTTGATACGATCTCTTCCTGAAACTAAGACTGGATATTCTGTCTTCTCACTATATGCACTACTTTCCTAGTCTTTCTTGTTTTATTCCTTTTGGTTTCTTTGTGCTACATCTGTATGATGTTTTCAGCATTATCTCCCTGTGCTCTTTGGTTGTTTCTAAATATGCTGCTTATCTTGTTTGCTGAGCAAAAGCTCTATCACTGACCTACCCCCAAGCCAACGTTCACTTATTCTTTGATCATGTTTTCAATCTCTTCTTTACACATTATAGTTTTTTTTGTTTTGGCCAGATGTGGCGGTATATGCCTGTAATCTTAGCAGTTGGGAGGCTTTGTCAGGAAGATCATGAGTTCAAGGCCATCTGGCCTACACATCAAGTTCAAGGCCAGCCTGGGATTGCTTTGTTTTATGTTTAGCACCTGGTAATTCCAATATATGAAGAATTGCAGGTCTGATTCTGCTTTCCACTGCCTCCACTAGTTCCTCCTCATGGTAACCTGTTTGTGTTTTGTGACTTTGGGCTCCCAACTCATGTTCTGTGAAACCTTATCTGTAAGATTGTTAAAAGCCTAGGTCGAAGATTCCTCCTCCCGAGAGAATTTGTGTTTCCTTCTGCCACAATCAATTCTAGGCATGAGGATTTTTAGACCACTAAATTGGTGTAGATGTGAGCCAGATGACAGCTTGTAGTTTCAAATTCCCAAATTTTTGCTGTCTTCCAACCACTACCAAAATCGAAACAGACAAGTTTTCTTGCTGTCCTTGCAGGGTGTTTTTCCTAGCTGACTTTTATACTAAAGACATCCTCTGAGAGATCTGAAGCTTTATGTGAGGGCATCCTATCAGATTCTTCATCTTGGTGAGGCTCTAGGAACTCACAGAATAATCAGAACTGAAGGTCAAAACTTTGAGGATTCAGCAAACCTCCAAACAGAAATCGAGTTTCAGCATTAGGCTATGATTTAACACATATTTGAATAGTTACTGTTTTATGTGCTTAGGACATATTAATGAACAAAATAGGCAACAATCTTTGTTCTCATGAAGTTTGCACTCTAGAAGGGTGATGACAAAATAAAGAAATCAATATAGTATGAGCTGAGCCCAATGGTGCACACCTGTAGTCCCAGCTCCATGGGAGGCTGAGGCAGGAGGATCACTTGAGCCTGAGAGTTTTAGAGCAGCCTGGGCAACATAGCAAGACCCACTCTCAAAAAGTTTTTAAAATATTTTTTAATCATAGCACGTTAAAAGGTAAATTACTATATAGCTGGGGAGTGGCATGGCCCTGTAATCCCAGCTGCTCTGGAGGCTGAGCAGGGAGGATAGTGAGCTTGAGGCCAGCCTGGGCAACATAGTTGGACCCTGACTCAAAAAATGTAGTAAGTGTTGGGCTGGGGATTTAGCCCAGTGGCACTGCATCTGCTTCACAAGTGCAAGGTCCTGAGTTCAATTCGATTCCCAGTACAACCAAAAAAAGAAAGAAAGGAAAAAAGAGAGAGAGAGAGAAGCTACAGACTGGAAGAAAATAAAACACTTCTGCAAAGGACACGCCTACTAAGAGACTACTGCCCAAAATATACAGAGTTCTTAACACTCAACAACGAGAAAACAACCAAATTACAAAATAGCCTGAAGACCTTAACAGACACCTCAGCAAAGAAGATATACAGATGGCAAATGAGCTTATGGAGATTCCCTACATCGTACATCATCAAACGGCCAAAAGCCTGAATACTGACAACACCAGATGCTAGTGAAGACATTAGGGAACTTCTGTTCATTGCTGCTGGGATGCGGTATGATACAGCCACTTTGGAAGACATTTTGGCACTTCTTTACCAATCAAACATATCATTGTCCCAAGATTTTCATAAAAGCCCCTCAGAATTGTCCCTCGGGGTCCCTCCCTATACCCAACCGTACTTGGCATGTCTGAAGTGCTGATATACATTTGTTGAATTAATTATCTTTGCATCCTAAGTACCTATCAGGTAACTCAATTAACATTTTAAATGCTTATATATAAAAGTCAGTCTAACACGACAATATTTAAAGCCATATGTTCACAGTTTGTTTTTTAAATTAAAAACAATGTACATTAAGACACTTAGAACAATAAGGAACCAAAGTAAATTTTTTTTCAAAGTAAATTTTAAAAAGTCATCTTGACTGTACATTTTTTTCTTGGATAAAATTTACATTTTTATGATCTTAAGAATTTAACAGAAATAACCATAAATGGGGCCTGCATTATATTTACTGTTCACAACTCGGAGATATGGTTACTTCAAACTAACGATATAACATTACCAAATTTTTATGGAAGTCACATCAACCTGTAAAGCACTTAGGTTACTCTTTTATCTGACAATATACTTGATTTTAAGTGTTTATTTTTTTTCAAGTCAATCTAGTAACTTTATGCGTTCTGGTAGAAAAATATCTACATATAACATATAGATCTAAATGTAACGACATACAGATGAACAACAATAACAAATCTTAGTTTCCATTAAATACTTTTAGTCACAAGTAAAGCTTAATAATGTAACTTCACCAGTTTAAAAAACTGATACAAAGTATATCTCTAACAAAATGGGACAAGGGTAAACTTCAGAATTTTTTTATTTGCTCTGAAAAGTAATCTTTAAAGGCTGTGCACTAAACTGGATACGTTTAAAATAGGGAGAGGAGGGGCTGGGGATTTAGCTCAGTGGTGCCACCGCCTGCCTCCCAAGCACAAGGTCATGAGTTCAAGCCCTGGTACCAAAAAAAAAATAAAATAGGGAGACGAGAAAATTTTGAAAGGCAGAGAGGTTAGAAGTCTCTATATGTTAACCTACGTTTGTCATGTTTTAAATTTAGTCTGAGGGGAAAAAAAGCTTATCATTTATTTGTGCAATAGTTTAAAATATGTATGAAGATAGGCTATAATTATTGAATATATATGTATATAGTTTTGAAAAAAGTCATCTTGAGTAGTGGGATTTGTGAATGATTTTATCATTTACACCAAACTCTCTCCAATAAGAGAAAAGGCATATATAAAATAAGGGTGATTTACAACTTGCAGAACACAAAAGTTCTCATGCTATTATTATAGCACACTTAGTTAAGATACATGATATTGTGCTGAAACATGAAAAAATAATGGTAAAACTATAAATAAACGGATTGAAAAGAATTGAATCAACTGTTACTTTAAACACACATGCATATGCAAGTTCACCTCTATTTGTAAGAAGAGACTTCAAGAGCTCCCAGATTAGGTGAACAGAGGATGTGAATGGCATTGACATCAAAGAAAAAAAGAAACAAAGATTTCTGCTTGTCAAACTCATAGAAATGAAAGAAATGCAGTGCACCATCTCTGACAAAGTGAGTCCACAAGCAGAGGTCACGCGTAGCGCACAGTGCTTGTGAATCTCCTGTGAAATGGCCACGACAGTGACAGTACAGCTAGTCCAAGATCATGAGAAAGTAATCTGGCAGGACACATCTAGAGGCCTAAAAATGTTCGTATCTTTTTACCTGATAATCCAATTCCCAAGGATTCACCATAAGAAAATAGTTTGTAAAAGTGATTATTTTTTAAGCAAGTGAAATGAGCTGGCCGTACAGAGAGCTAAGAGAGCATTCTAGGCAGAGGGAACATCCATGGAAGATGAGTACGGATACCAAAATTTAGCAGTGCTGACATGTCCAGTGACACCACACTTCATAGAGAGGTAGTAATTTTATAGGAAAGTTGAGAGCTTTTCCTCTGGCACCAGACAGATAATCAAAGATGAATAAGACGCGAACCCTACCCCTAGGGCTCACGGTCTCCAGTTAATAAGCATTCCCCTTACTAAGTCTGTGACTTGGAGCAAGCAAGCTACTTCATCTCTCTATGCTCAGTTTTCTCGTTGTAAAACAGGACTGATAAAAAATTAAGAGTAATACTATGTGCAGTTCTTAATACAGTGCCAGCACGATGACTTCAGCAGGCACCAATATAGACGTGGAGTTTGCAATCACACAGCATGGTATGGGAATGGTGAAAGGAGCAGTAACATGAGTTTTACTAGGGCACAGGGTTCCAGGAGTTTTTTGCTTGTTTTTGGTTTTTCCTTCTTAAAAGTTCCTTTAAATTTTACGTTGCTTATATAAATCTCAAAATCTGTTCAGTTCTACCAGGTATGGTAGCATGAAGCTGTAGTCCTAGCTACTCAGGAGGCAGAAGCAGAAGGATCACTTTTAAGGCCAGGAGCTCAAGACCAGCTTGGGCAGTTGTAGCGAGAATCCCGTCTTAAACACACAAACAAAAAAACCTCTTCAATTCCAATATGCTCTAAGCACCTATCATGTGACATTCTATGTCAGGAAAACATGTGTGAATCGTTTCTGCCCTCAGGGGCCTCACAGTACAATAGGTAATTCATTCATTTAGAATTCATTCAGCAAATATTCCTTAAGCCCTATGATTTGCCTGGCACCGTGCCAGGTATTAAGAATTCAGAAGGAACAAACTGAACAAAGTAGCTGCCTGCATAAAGCCTGTGTGCTAATGGAAAAGACAGACTAAGCGAGCAAACAAAAACAAGATAATTCCAGATGATAACACATTATAAAGAAAATAAACAGAATGGTGATCGAATTATCTGATGGTTGAAGGTGAGCCACTTTAAAGAGAGTGGTCAGGAAGCTGCCTCCTGAGTAGGTACCATCTGAGGTGAGATATAAAGGAAGAGACTAAGAAGTGAATGAAGAGTATTCTGAATGGAGCAAATGCAAGGGTCCTGAGGTCAGAAAGAGTTCAGATGATCCAGAACAGAAAAGAGGGTGGTGGAGATGGAGCAGATGAGTGAGGAGAGGTGGACAGAAGGATGGGCAGGAGCCCCACTGGTTCTCATAAGGAGTCTGGATTTGATTTGAGAACAAGTCATAGAAGGTTTTAAGCAGAGAAGGGACGTGATCTTTGGGTGTTTGAAAAGCTTCAGTGCAGAGAATGGATGATAAGAAGGCAGAAGTAGGGACCAGAAGAGCAGTTAGTGATTGCTGCAGGCGATGGTGGCAGAGAAACAGTACAATGAACTCAAAATGTACACAGGAACAAGACTCGAGACCTGCCCGTGCGCTCCACATGGCGGGAGGGCGGGGCGGGCAGAAGCAATGCCAACTTGTAGCTTACACAGCTGGCTGATGACAGTGCTATTTACTGCGAGAAGGAGTTTGGGGTGGGAAATCAAGCATTCAGTTCTGAACTAGTGGGAGATTCCAGGAGAAATGTCAAGTGGTTAGGTGGCTGTCCAAGTCAGGAGCCCAGGGTGCAAGCCAGGATAGAGAGAAATTTAGGAGTAAAGAGAGAGAGGAAGATAAAGAAAGCATCAGTGCGGAAGAGTTCACCAAGGAGGTACACGTAGACAGGACAGAGAGTCAAAGACTGAGGCCCGAGGCAGTCAACACGGAGGAAGATGTGCCAGAGAGACACAGTGGAACGGCAGAGGAGCGGGCTCAGCTGGGATGCAGTCTCGTGTGAAGTGGAAGGAAGGTGAGCCAGCCCGGTATTCTCTTAGTGCATAGGTGTGAGCTGCCAGAAGAATGCAGGCAGTGCTGGTGTGTCAGAGTAGAAAGCTCTGAATTCCTCAGCACAGCAGGGAGGCTTCCTTAGACAACTGACATAACCATATTTAACTGTGGAATGAGGAGGTGTCCAAAATATGTGGGTCCCTGGGATAAGGGACAAGAAGAGTGGACTTTCAAGGCCCATGATGGGAAGAGGAGCCACACAAAGGCCTGGTGATCTGGAGATACAATGGTGTGTCTGATTCTCTTCCCCTCTTAAAGATGCCCACTGAAGTTGCTGGAGGCCCAGGAATGTTTTGCTAATCTTGTTCCCCTGTTAATATGAAAAACCCGCTGCAGGTGAACTGTTTCCTTTTTACTTCTAGTAGTAATCAGAAATATATATCAAGATAGAATCACAATGCATAGCTATACCCCATACGTGAAACGTAGGTTACAAAATAGTATGATCCCAATTTTATGAATACAAAGTACAATGCATTTTTAAAGGAAAGAAAAGAAATATGTTCAAAGAGTCTATCACTATCTGGTAGAATTATGGATGATAACCTTCTTCATCTTATTGTCTATTTTCTACAATGAACATCTTTTACATTTTAAAAATTAAAGGGCTGGGTATGTAGTGGTAGAACATTTGCCTAGCAAGTACAAGGCCTTGAGTTCAATCCCCAGCACTACAAAAATAAATAAAAATAAAAATTAGATTGAAACGCCACAGATGCTATTGAAACACACACACCATTGAAAACAGGTCCCAGGAGGTAGCTCACCTTCTGCAGGAGAGGGGTGGGGCAGATGTTGTCAAACAGAACGGAGCTGAAGATGCCATACATGCCGTCATCAAGGTGGTACATGATGGTCTTGAGGGCAGAACCACTTTCCTCTGTGGGGAGGCATCAAGGGCCACACAAGCAGAAGTTAGGGGGATTCAAAGGGGAGCTGACACCATGGCGAGCTCAGCAAGGGTGACAGGTTTGTGGAGCTAAGGTGGCTGCCCTTTCCCCAGCTATGGGGTAAATCCTGTAACAGAAGCTACCAACATCCACGTTCACTGCCATGTTAGGAACACTTCCCCTTACAGCAGACAAGCCTTCCCGGGGCACACTTCCCAGCCTGTGTCTGAGCCCCTAGATGCCCCAGCAAAGCCAAAAGAGCAGCCCACTCAAACTCAAGACCCCAGAGGGTAAGCTCGGCGGGACCAGAGAGGGTAGTGAATGAGCTGGAATGAGAAGCAAGGTTCCCTGGCTGGACCGGAAGGGACAACCCCCCAGATCTACAAAGGAGACCGGAAGCGTGCTCTCCCTGTGCGCACACACGGAGGATGTTTGATGTGAAGCCCACACCTCCACATGGATTTTGTCTGGGGAAGAGCACACCGTCCTGAGGCTTTCCTGCCTGAGGGTCCCAGAGCAGAAGGCAAAACCCAAATCGAGTCCTCGACACCCCTCACTCACAGGGTGCTGCGAGCTCACTCTATGTGGAAAGCAAGGGAAGAGCAGTGATGCTGATGGTGTGGGCACCCAAGTTGAGTCAGCCCAGTCGAAACCTGAGTTCCAACCATGCCCTTAGTAGCCATGTGCCCTGGGCTGGTGACTCAGTCCCTCCCTGCCTACGTTTTATCATCTGTAAAAATGATATAAGTTGTCACTAATTACTTTTATTAAGTTAGGAAAAAGGATGAACAAGAGCCTTACGTCAGAGAGGAGACAGACAAGGGGTCAAATGCAGGCTTTACCTCTTTCTTACTGGTTCTTAAGCAATGCAGTTATACTCCCTTTGACTCTGATTCCTCATCTATCAAATGTTGTCCACAAAAAAAAAAAAAATGCCAGGCATGGGGGCACATGCCTGTAATCCCAGCACTCGGGAGGCTGAGGCAGGAGGATCGCTGTGAGTTCGAGACCAGCCTGGACTACATAGTGAGTTCCAGGTCAGTCTCAACTACATAGTGAGACCCTGTCTCAAAAAAAAAAAAAATGCCAGGCATGGGGGCACATGCCTGTAATCCCAGCACTCGGGAGGCTGAGGCAGGAGGATCGCTGTGAGTTCGAGACCAGCCTGGACTACATAGTGAGTTCCAGGTCAGTCTCAACTACATAGTGAGACCCTGTCTCAAAAAAAAAAAAAATGCCAGGCATGGGGGCACATGCCTGTAATCCCAGCACTCGGGAGGCTGAGGCAGGAGGATCGCTGTGAGTTCGAGACCAGCCTGGACTACATAGTGAGTTCCAGGTCAGTCTCAACTACATAGTGAGACCCTGTCTCAAAAAAAAAAAAAAAAAAAAAAAAAAAAAAAAAGTTGTCCAAAAAGTATCTATTTTCCCAATGCTATTTTTACCTCAGTCTGTACACAGCTATGGAAAAAGATGCTTGATAACTGTCTTAGGAGTAAGAGGACTTAATTGCAAGTTTCCCTAGGGCAAGCACCCTTTTCTCCAAATTCCCCCATCCTGGCCACTCGACCAAACACCAGGCCCTTTCCAGCTAGCCATGTCCCAGCTTCAGGAGGGGACAGGGCTCTGCTGCCCTGTCCCCTGGCACCTACCCTCTCTGCTGGGCTGGTCCAGAGGAACCTCCTTCTTGGCAACAATGCTTACAGCCACAGTGAAGGCAGAGGTCACATAGTAGCGCCCCAGCTCAGCAAGGACGTCCACACCACAGCCCTCTGGGAAGTACAGGTCCAAGGCCGAGTTGATCACAGAAGCAATCTAGGGGAGCGGGATGGGGAACAATTGTGTGTTTGAAATGTGGGGTTTATGCTGAAGACTTGCTGCAGTTCCAAGTCTATTTCTTAAAGCTGAGTTGGGGCCAGAGATTTAGCTCCGTTGTACCACTGCCTGCCTTGCAAGTGCAAGATCCTGAGTTCAAGCCCCATTACTACCAAAACAAAAAGCCACTGTGATTTCAGGAAGAAGGACTTGGCAGCTGCTAAGGCTCCAGCTGGTAACTGGGAACAGCGAGCCGAGAAGGCAGAAAGAGGACAGGGCTGGGTTGAGACTCTCAAACTTGTATAAATCACCCTCTTCAATGCCCCCACAATGGGAAGGGCCATTACTTCTATCATGTTTGGTGCTCAGATTCCAGAAGTCCTCATGTAGATCTTTCATAAAAAACCGATTTGCTAAATAATGTATTATAGAAAATTCAAAAATTACAAAGAAAAAAGGAGAAGACAGAAACTACCCTAATTCTATCACCCAGATGATCCTCATCATTGTGAGTCATTCCGGAGTAGATTCTTTAATTCTTTTTTATGAACAATGTTTTTTAATTATAAACATCATGGAGCTGCGTGTATTCTTAAAAGCTGTTTTGCTGCACACACTGAAAGTTCTCTCACATGAGCAAATGTTGTCATCCGAAGAAAGTACCATCATCTAACAAATCCTGAGTACTAGATGCCCCAGGAAAGTTCACTATTGTTATGCACAAAGCTGCAACTCTCATCTTTGAGGCTAATTCTTTGCATCTATTCCAGAATTACCTCCTCAGAGTCAGTTCCTACAAGTGGAGATTGCATAAGCAGCCACCTTTTAAGAAGAGGTGACCCCTAGTGGGGACTTCTATGCATCTTTCTTGCCTTTATCTCATGGTGGAGGAGACACGGGAAGCAGAGGTTGGTTTTCCTTCCTCTGTCTTCCCAACTGATTTCTCATCAGCCCAGCCAAGGGTAAACAGGGCTTACCCAGACCCTTAAAGAGCTTTATGATGTGCAATGATGTCTTGATTAAGCCTCAAGTAGGCTGGGCATGAGCCGGAGTCAGGAAGAGCCAGTGTCAGCCAGCCCTGCTGTGCACCAGGAAGTGACATAACTGCAGTGCACCTCTGTTTGCTCAACCATAGCACAGGGTTAATAAGAAGTGGGGTGACCCAGTAATGCACCAAGCACAGCATAAGACACATGGAACCATTCCCAGTAGACTCCCAGTGACATGCTACCCCTCCATACTAGTCCCCAGCTCCCCACCCAAAGAGCCCAGCAAGACACCTCCAGCCCCACAGTTACCTCTTCGAATCTCACTTTGGTTCCCTCTACTCCAGGGAAGCCACCACCAAGGTCAAGAATATGCATCGTGTGGCCCAGCTCGGCACCCATTTCAAACACAAGCCGGGCTTCTGCGATGGACTGAGCATAGACCTGAGGGTCAGGACAGCCACTGCCAACATGAAAACTGGGAAAGAAGGAATAGCCTCTGCTTGCACACAAAGTTCCAGGTGTCCCAACCTCAACCCAGCCAGTGGGGACCTCGGGCAGACACCTGGGACAATGTGCTCATGTTCCTGACACAGTGACTGGGGGCCTGAAATATTGTTAAATGGGTCTCAAGGGGCCCTGTGGCCATCTAGGAGAGGATGCTTCCTTCACCCCTCTGTACTGCCCCTACAGGAACCTTCTAGGATGAGAGCCAGGGACCCAGAGTACCCACATTAGGAGAGGCCTGGGCAAGTTATTCAGCCTGCCTCATTTAAGTTTCCCATGCACAGAGTAGGGTTAAGAGCCTCTACCACACAAGGCCATGGGGTAATGGACATGCAGCACTCAGCTCAGTGCCTGAAGTAGAGAATAATGAAGCCATACAGTTGGCCTTTATTATTTTCTTCCACATCCCTGCAACAACAGGGGCAATTCCAGGATGTGGCTGCAGAACCTTAGGCCTACAGGCTGATAAAACTTTCTCAAGGCCAGGTCCCAGAGGTCAAAGCCTCTTGGGACAAGACTTCTGGACACCATGGGGCTAAGGAAGGCGACATTCCAAACCTTCTTTCCAAAGAAAGGAAATTTTTAACTAGCAGGATTCTAGGCCCAGGAGGCGCCTTGCTTGGAGGCCCTGGGGAAAGCCTCATACATAATGATTAATTCCTGTGAAAGAAGCATGGGCTAGGCGTGGGAGGGGATGGTGGGGCTCCCAGTGGGGCTCCTGGTGCGCACCTCACACCCACCACCTCCATGTGGCTCTTCTTGGCATTTTCAAGCAGATGTCTGCAGGATTTCAGCAATGCTCCAAATTTCAGGCTCAGGCAGCTCAGGGAGTGGGTGTCATCCGTGGCAATGCACAGAACCATCCTGATGAGACACAGTGTGCCCCTGCTGGATGAAACCCACCTACCCCATCCCAACTATGTCTCCTCTGAGTCCTGGTCTGTGAACTCAAATGGCTTAGAGCCTGATGGGCCCACAAGCTTTTCTAAATCCCATCTTCTCCCTGAACAGCCAGTCAACCTCTGAGTTCTGTCCAACTCATTCTCCTAATGTCCCTGTGCACATTCCTGCATCATCTGCATGGGGTAGATCTCACTGGCTCTCCTGGGCAGCTCTAGTTCCTCCAAATAGCCTCCACACCAGGCAGTTTTCAAACTTTGTCTCTATGAGGGGAACCACTTTTCTCAGTCCTAAGAAAAACCCCAGTTAACGTGATGGAAGTTGCTTGGGTGAACCAGAGTAACCCCGCACCTAGCCTACCCTTTACTCAAAAACCTTCCCCGGGTCCCCAGGGTATCAAATAATTTAAAAAGTTACAGCCAGAGCAAAATGCCCAGACTCAACCCCTTCCAGAATCCATCTGCATTGGATCCCCACTTGTGACCAGTGTCATTCACTATGCCCTTTACCCACACACAGGCATGTTCCAGCCCCATCAAATTTCTGCTCACCCCTCAATTACCTCATGCTGCTTCTGACTCCTATGATTTTGCTTATGCACTTTGCTGTTCATGTCCTTCCCAAATTCTACTCATTCCTCAAGGCCTACTTCTGAGTCTTTCCTGCCCTCCACTATAGCATAGCCTTCTCTTCCTGGGGCTGTAACCATTTAGCTCTGCCTTTGATCTAGACAGGACTGGCATCTGAGTCCAGTCCAGGAGCACCCACGTACCTCACGTGACAATGGCCAAGTCAGGCAAGGACCTCTCCCCAGCATCCCCTTCCACTCCTCTACCCTCACCCAGTAGCCCAGCCCTCACCCCTTGCATGCTTGGTTCTCGGCTTACTTGGCACTGGGGTGGCTCTTGACTACCTTTGCCAGCTCCACCTCGTTGTCAAAGCTCAGCAGCTGCACCCCGTGCTTGGCAGCATACTTGATCTGTGCAATTTGTTTACAGGGGTTGGCATAGATGATCTTACTGGCAGGGACACCAATACGCTGGACTAACTCCATCTCTGCCTGTAGGGCCCCAAAGGTGGTGGTAAGGACACCAGGACCTACTGATCCATGGAGCCCAAGGAAACACAAATGAAGGGCAGTAATAGCTACATGACAAGTGGTCCATCCCTTTAAGATAACAAATAAGCAAAAAGTTAGGATGTAAAACTCATTCACCATTCTCTGATAGGCAGAGCTGCCATACAGTCACACAGGCGGTATACTGCACAATCCTGACGGCTCCTGCTCACAGCAAATACAGAACAGATTCATATGTTTATTGCAACTTCCTTGCATAAAACAACTCATTCTAACAAAATCAGTAATTTATTATAACAAGTGTATTAGGAAGAGGTACATTTTCTAATTTACACAAAGGTCTCTACAGACTCCTGGTGGCCCTAACAACAGGCTTGTGACACACTTTCCTCACAGATTTAAACTTTTAATATTACTTGGAAAATAGTAGGAAAGTTCCTTTAAAAATTAAAAATAGAGCTATTATGTGGTCCAGAAATCCCATTCTTGGTATATATCTAAAGGAATTGAAATCAGTATGTGGAAAGAGTATCTGCCCTCCCATGTACACTGCAGTGCTATTCACAATAGCCAAGAAATAGAACAACTCATACATTCATTGATGGAAAAATGGATACAGAAAATGTAATACTTACACAATGCACCACTATTCATCCATTAAAAAAGGAGGGAATCCTGTCATTTATAACAACATGAATGAAGCTGGAGGACATTATGCTAAGTGAAACAAGCCAGGCATAGAAACACAAAAACTGCATGATGTCACATATCTGGCATCTAAAAAAGTCAAACTCCAAGAAACAGTAAAATGATGGTTGCCAGGGGCTGGGTGTGAGTGTTGATACAAGGACACACAATCTGAGAAGAATAAATTCAAGAGATTTATTGTGCTTACAGTTAATAACAGTGTATTGTATACTTGGAAACTTCTAGGAAAGAAGATTTTATGTGTTATCACAAAAAGAAAGTATGTGAGTAATGAATACCTTAGTTTAATGCAGCCATTCCGTGATGTACACATGTATCACATCACATTGCACACTATAAATATACATGATTTTGTCAACTTAATAAATAATATTGCTCTGTGTTTTAAAAAGTCTGCAAAACCAGGAGACTTTCTGACACACGTCACCTAGCCCCACAAGTCTGCATGCAGGATGCTCTGTGGGGCGGCTCGGGCTCAGCACCTCCTTAGGGCCTTTTTCTTTTCTTTTCTTTTTCTGTTGTGGTAGTGGTGATGGTGGTTTTTGCTGTTTGGTATCTGTAGCTGTCATTCTTTGTTTTTTTCAGTGTTGGGGGGATGGACCCCAGGGCCTCATGAATGCCAGGCAAAGGTTTTGCCATTGAGCTATACCCCAGCTTTTCCTCACCTTTACAGAAGGTAAACCTCTGCGTGATTGCGGCTTTAGTGATGTGGGCGAGGATGATGATGACGACAGCAGTGATGAGGATGGTGTTTATTGAGCACTGCCCCCAGCAGGCACTGAGTGAGGTGCAGGCAAACGTCTAGAAAAGGGGCTGATCCTGTGAGCCGTACCGTGTCTGCTGAAGCTGCTCAACTGACGACAGGTACGTGAGTGACCGTGGCTGGGACTCAGTAACACTTCAGGAGATTCGGTGCTGTAAATTTACTGTTTCGTTCAGTCCTCACAATAACCCATTCAAATCACTGTTAGCTCTGTGCTGCAGAGGGCAGACTGATATTAGAGACTAGGTAGCAAGTAGGGGGCAAATCCAGCTGTCAAACTCTAGTCTCACTCTCCATGGATAAGGAAAAGAAGTCTGAAGAGAGACAATTTCGAAACACAGTAGAAGACCTGAGCGCCATTTGAAGCTATCCTGAGTTTATAAGACTCTAATTTTGACTGAGCAACTTTTCCTCACTAGGTAGGTATCATACACATTATTTCATACAGACCCAATAGCTACCCTATAAGTATTTCCTGGCCACATTCCACAGAGAACAAAACTGAGTTCAGAGGGCTCCATCTGATGCCGCAGTCAATGAATAGCAGAGCGGGACACAGAGGTCCAACTCCAGAGCTGGACTTGCTGCCATTACAGCTTGCTTCCCAGGGGCAGTGGTGCCCTCCACACACTCTCTCTCTCTCTCTCCTCTCTCTCTCTCTCTCTCTCTCTCTGAGTTTGAGTGGATTTCAAATGTATTTTTGCTCCCTGCAGAGACCTGTGATTTAGTTTTGATTATAAGTATTTAAATACTAAGTATTGTTATTCACAAAAAGGCTACTATATGCCAGCTATTGCATTAAAATTTGTTATACTTTCTCATTTAACCCTCATAATGCTCTTACTGTAGGTAGGAAAGAGAGGCTCAGAGAGGGTAAGCGACTTGTCCTGAGTCACACAACACAGCTGTTAATAAATAGCACAGCTGGGATTGTAACTGTCAGACCCCAGCTTGCAGATAGATATCACTTGAGCATCTACTGAGTTGCCAAGCTGTGAGAGGTGCTGATGAAAATAAGTTGTGAATAATGCTATGGAGCTTTCAGTGGGTGGGGAGACAAGTGGACCCTGGATTGTAGTGGAATTACAAATGGTTAAAAGGTGTGATGAAAAAGTACAGGAGAGTGAGGAACAGGAGGATCTGGGTGTGAAGGACAATGAACAGCCTGAGGATTAGAAATGAAAGCAAATCCTTGCAGGAAGCCTCAGCCAGGATGGGAGGGAAGGAAAAAATGTTTCCAGGAGAGGGAGCTACCTGTACAGAGGTTGAGACTGTGCTTAGCTGAATCAAGAAGCAGGGAATGGTAGAGTGGTCAAGATAAGGTCAGAAGGAGGTGAGCAGAGCCACGCATTTTACTCTGCACATGATGGAAAAGAATTATAAGGGTTTCAAAAAGGGAAATGGCAAAGTCAGATTTGCTTTTCTTTTTTTTTTTTTTTTTTTTTGGTACCAGGGATCAAACTCAGGGCCCCAGATTTGCATTTTAAATATAAAGTCTCAACATTTAGCATTCTGACCATCTGAGAAGGGGCCTGAGGGGCTTCCAAGAAGGCTAGTCAGTGGCTGTCACAACCAACCTGGGAGTGATGACTGAGCTGGCTCTAGAAAGGTGGGGGGATGTGTTCCCAAAGTGGCCTGGCAAGCTGGGTAATGAACTGAAATGGAGAAAATGAAGTTCCCAAGAGAAGGCAGAGTTTACAAGACGGGGGCCCTAAAACAGAATTCAGAGGAAGATAGAAAGAGCCCGCTCCTAGAACCTGTGGAGAGGTGAGGAGGGAGTGAAATCCAGATCAATGATCAGAAGGGTCTAGTAAGTGTGGAGACAGGTCCAGACCAGCATGTACTCTCTGTTTATATACTTTTACTTTTTTGAGACAGCGTTTTGCTATGGGGCCCAGCTGGCCTCAAATTCACAAACCTCCTGCCTCAGCCTCCTGAGTGTTGGGATTACAGGCATGTGCCACACTGCCTTGCTCATCTTATATACTTTTGAAGTCTTTAGGTATGTATGTTATTGTTGAAAATTTTTCAAAAGAGTTGGGCATGATGATATGGGACTGTAATTCCACCTCCTCAAGAGGCTGAGGCAGGAGGATCACAAGTTCAAGCTCACCTGGACAACTTAGACTCAATTTAAAAAAAAGAAAAATTTTAGACTCAAAAATGAAAAAGTTTAGCCAGAGATTTAGCTCAGTGGTTCTGCCTCCTGCTTTGCAAGCACAAGGCCCCGAATTCAATCCCTGATACAAAAAAAAGAAAAGAAAGAAAGAAAAAGTTTAGGGCCAGGGGTTTAGCCCAGTGATTCTGCCGCCTGCCCTGCAAGCACAAGGACCCGAGTTCAATCCCTGGTACCAAAACACACACACACATACACACAGACGCAAAGCTTGAAAGGATTTGGGCTGTAACTCAATGGTAGAGCACTTGTCTAGCATGTGTGAGGCCCTGGTTCAGTCCTCAGTATTGAAAAAAATATTATTTTAAAAAATATGTTGCCAGGTGGAAAGCTAGGAACACCATAGAGTGTCCTTAGACCGGGTCTAGATGTATCGACACAGACATGTCTCCAAAACCTGCTCAATGTAAAGCTACAGTAGTTGAGTCTGTGCCACATGAGTGCCTTTTATATTTTTTTGCAAAGATCCCAAAATATTTTATATACTTCATGTGGATCACTGATGTCTTTTTACATAATATTCCTTGCTATGTAGTAGTGAATTATCTATGGAGACATAAAGTTGATATCCTCCTTTCTCTTTGGGTGAGTGAATCAATGTATTACTTGAATAATTCATAGTTACCGTTTCAAATAAAGTGTATTCTGGACCTCAATGAATTCTGGAGGTCCCTGGGTGCCTTGGTAAAAGGGAATTCTTCAGAGTAGTAAGAGTAAAGGCCGGGCCGGGCGTGGTGGCACACGCTTGTAATCCCAGCACTCAGGAGGCTGAAGCAGAAGGATCGCTGTGAGTTCGAGACCAGCCTGGGCTACATAGTGAGTTCCAGGTCAGTCTCAACTACATAGTGAGACCCTGTCTCAAAAAAACCAAAAAAAAAAAAAGAGTAAAGGCCGGGAAACAGGCTTAAGGAATGGGTCCTTAGGAAAAGAGGCAACAAGCACAGTTGAATGCAGACTACTCTGCTGAATTTGGCCACAAGGAGGAGCAAACGATTGGGTTAAAGGAGAATGTGGTATCTAGGGAAGGCTTTTTTAAAATGGGAGGAGGCCGAGGGAGCTAGCCAAGAAGAGGCAAGGGTTGGGGACAGGAACAAGGACACACGGCCTTCAGGGAGGAGGCTGCGTGGACCAGTGGCCTTGTGCAAGCTGTAGCCTGTGGCCCTGGCCATAGAGCCTGTCCAATGAATGTCTGTTTGTACCTCCAGTCCTAGCTCATGCTAGACCCTTGGATAATGAATGTCCATGGTGACATTAGCATAGCTTCCCCCTAGGACCGACCAGAAGAGGGCAGTCTCTGCCCTTTAAGTAAAGTTGAACATCTGAGGCTATAGTTAGGGTACCCTGGTTTAGTACTGGGGACCCAGTACTGACAAAAAGAAAGTTTTAAGTCCAGGAACCACTCTAATCCCACCACAAGGAGGAGATTTAGGCCTCTCTTCACCCTTGCAGTGAAATGAGGGCATCCATCATTAGCCAAGTGCCAGCTCAGCCACCCCCTCCCCCAGGCATTGGAGAAAACAATAGCAACAGAGTCCCAACACCACATGGCTAGGTTCAAGCTGCCACCTCCAGGGCAGAACCCAGGTCAAGTCATTCAATTCCTGTGCCTCACTTCCTTTTATGCTGAATTCACCTTCACCAGGCTGTGGTCAGAATCAGACCTCAGGGATGTTTCAAGAATCAAATGAGATCATGTACAGGAAATGCTTGGCAAAGTGCCCTGCACAGCAGACACACTCAGCAATGTAGAAGCTTCTGACATCCCCACTGCCTTTGAGGTCTTCCATTGCCCTACCCCACAGCTCTGCCTTTTGGAGTCCAGCTCCTGAGGATTGAGGGCCACGTGCTTCACCCCTGGGCTTCCAGAAGTAGAGGACTGTAGTCAGTGGGGTTTGGTCCTGTTCTCTCCCCTGGACTGGGGACCAAAGGATCCTGTTCCTTCTCACCCACGTGGAGGCCCAGGATGCTGCAGGAGGCAGTAGGAAGAGCAAGAGTCCTGGCTCTGCAGTGTCTTCCCAGGTGCCTCACAGGTTTTACCTAACACACGCATGAGTTAAGGCATGCAATAAAGCACAAGGGAAGATACTTGTCAACCATGGAGAGCCTGAACATTTGGTCCCCAGCAAAGGTTAACCTGCTCATCCTGTACCACCTCTTCCTTACCTAGACTCACTCCAGCCCCATCATTCTGATCAGTTTAGCAGTCCTCTTTTCTCCTCCAGGAACCCCTTCTAGAACTTTCCTCCCAACATCCAACCACACTGTCAATGAAGGCTTAACAGGGGTTCCTTTCAGAATGACCATTACTGACTGCCAAGAAAATGATGGCAATGACAGTACATAGAGCAATACTCGCCAGGCTCATTCCCGTCTCAGGACTTTGCATTTGCTATTATTCCCTCTTCCTAGAATGCTCTTCCTCTTTTTATCCAGCTGACCTGATCCCACACCTCTTTCAGATCTGTATTCAAATCTCAGCAATGCTTTCTTTGGCTGAACTCTCTAAAACTGATCCTCCCACCCCACAATCCCTTTCCCAATTTTTTTTCCACAGCACTTACCATCTGAAACACCATATGCTTCCATTATTTAATTTGTTTATGTTTTAGAAACCAAGCTCTATGAAGGAAGGACTTTTTTGTTTTGTTTTATTCATGGCTAAATTCCCACCTAAAATAGTACTTGGCCCCATAGTAGCTGCTCAGTAAATATTTGCTGAATGAATATGTTCAAAGTTGTACTCTGATGGAACTTCATAGCTTTTCTTTTCATCTAGTAAGATGCTACTCAAGGATAACAGAGCCTGTCTTACTCATTGCGGTACTGCCAGTCCTACCCAGCACAGCTGTCACCATGCTGTAGTTCAATGACTACTGAGTGATGATATATAAGCAAAGTCAATCAAAAGATAGCAAAAAGAAGCAAGACAACAGCAGAAATCAAATTAGAAAGACAATAGAATTGGCAGCAACAACAAAACCCTAAAAGCATCATTAGGAAAATACACAGTCACACATTAAGATCATAAAAGAAAAAATAAATAAATAAAACCAACAGTATAAAAACATTTTCCTTTTGCTTTAACTAGAAGAATACGACATATAGCTCTATGTGAAAACATTTTAAAGCCTCTGTTAAAAAGTGACCCACCCACCAGGATCACATAGGTTCCAATACTGACTTCTCCCTCCCTTATCCCCAGAGCTTCCTTCACCGTAGGTGGCCTTCCCAGGAAGCAAGTCACCCCTGCTCCCCCAGGGCCCACCCACACCGGAAGGGCCAAAGCACGGGAAGGGGTAGGTGCTCACCTTATTGACACAGCTGAAGCCCAGCCCCAGTTCAGCCAGGACCTTCAGCACACCCAGGCTGCTGTTGCACTTGACTGCATAAAAGGGCCGGACTCGTGGCAGACACTTACGAAAGCAGAAGTGCTTCCTCACTACGGCACCCAGGTCTGCCAAGAAGAAGGCAGCAGCCTTGCCCTGCATGACAAGAGGTGGATGGATGTGAGACCCCATTCAGCCCCTCTCTGTCATGCTGCCCAGTCCTTCCAAGACCCTGTCCCATTTCAGCTCTGGCCACAAAGCTACCCTGGTATAATGTTTTCTGGGGCTTCCCATCCCTACAGGATAGAAAGCAAACTTCTCCACCTGGCATTCAAGACTCTGTGATCCAACTCCAGTCCCTCCCATCACGCAGGTAAAACTTTCAACTATAGGCTGGATCATTTTCCCACCTCCAAGTCCTTCTCTTTGCTGGCTTTGGCCGTCTCAGTCTACCTTCAAATTTCAGCTCAAATTCCATCTTCCCCGAAACTGTAAGGCAACTTGGCTTTTAATGTTTTTGTTGCATTTTGTTTGTGTTTTCAAAGCATCAGAACTGTATACACATCCATCTGTCTGCTCCAGGGGAGGGTCAATTTCTTGAAGGCAGAAGCTGCGGCCTAGAGCACACTGGTTGTCACATAACGGTGCTTAGTGAAGACTTGAGGTCATCCCACTGCCACCACAAACCATGCTGGTGGACAACTGGTCATCAAAGACTGGCTGATGACTGAACATGTATGAGGCACCTTATTTAAACCTTTCCTGGGGTTCAATTTCCATTTCATGCAATACTTTTTAAATGGTGCCTACTTGGTATCAGATATAATGCTAGGGAACAGAGATGACAAATAGGGCTTTAGCCCTGAAGGGTCTTTAAGGCCTGGAAGAGCATCAACGCTTAAGTAATTACAAGCCTCTTCAATAAATGCTACATGAGTTTCTACAAAATGTAGTGGGAGCCATGGAGAATGAAAATACAAAATCTGCCTGGAGTAAGGCAAAGGCAACACTGATAACAGCCTGTAGTGATGGAGTACCTAGCACCCTCAGAAATAGGAATAGAGCATTTCAGCTCCGATGGAGTGAGCGTAATATAGACTGTGGGACAATAAAGCCCAGAAATGGGCTATAGAAGCAGGCTTGATTTTAAGCAAAGCTACCATACAGTTAGAGGGGATGGTTTGAAATGAGGAGGTCAGGGGCCTTTAGGGAGGTGAAGGCTGGACTACATTGTACATGAGCACCCTGGAGGGCTATTTAAGCAGGCAGAATTCACGGAGCTAGTGAAACCTGGGAGGAAGGGGTGACGCAGGAGGTGAAGGGGAGAAGGAGAGGGAAAAAGACTTCCAAGTTTCAACCTGGAGAGCTATGGTAGATGATGTTGGTGCTGCTTATTCATCAAGGCAGAGGACACAAGAAGAGCAAATTTGCGGGGGGTGGGGTCAGGCACTGGGGATAGAATGGGCCAGTCCCTTGAAAATAACAAGGACTGAATACCAGAGCTGTGAAAAAATAAGATGAGGGCCCTTCCAGAGGCGGGGTCGGGCGCACCGCACTCCAAGCCCTCACCGTAGTGGCCGGCGAGGCCCCCAGAGTGAGCTCCTCCAGCAGGTCTCGGGTGCTGAAGCCCTCCTCCACCATCACAAAGTCCGATTCACTCAGGTAGCCAGCCATGCCAAGCCGCGCCCGAGTCCAGTCGATGGGCCGGATGGAGCCACAGCCGCTGTCGCTGTCCCAGCCACCGCCTTAGAAAGTATGCAACACACTGCGGGGGGCGCGGGGAGATACCGCTGAGGGCTAGGCTCCAAGGCTAGGGGTCCCCGGCCAGTCACCCACCACCCTGCCCCCAGCACAAGCGTGGGGATCTTAGGTTCGCTTGGAAGGATGTGCCACGGCCAGGAGTCCTGGATTCTACACTGGGACAAAGCATTATATGCTCAGATGTCAAAGCCTCAGTTGCCCTGTCTGTAAAACGGATGAGTTGTTATGGAGATCTTTTCCAATTCTGAAATGCTGAGTTCAGGAAGAGAGAAAGAACGAGCGACCAGAGCAGGACGTTTGAGAAGCCTGGGTGGGGAAATTTCCAGGGTGCCCCCCAATCTGACCGCACCCACCCAGAGGATGCCAGCGGCCACACCAGATTCTCAGCCAGAGAATAGGAGCTTAGGTTCGAGTTCGCTGTCTGCTGCAGGACCACGGGCAGTTTCCGACCGCTCTCAGTGCCTCAGTTTCCCCGTAAGTGTTGGTCCTGACGTGCTAGAATTGTTAGGCTGCATGGGTGCGCCAGGCGGTGGGCGGGTTGCGAACTCCCAGGCGAGAACTGACCAAGTGCAGGGTAGAGGTCCCGCGCCCCCCCCCGCCCCGAACCCCCTTACCAAGCCCCGTCCTCCTTCGCGGGGGCCAGATCCAGGCGCGCTGCTAGGGAGGGTCGCCGGTGACCTCGAAACTTGTGCAACACTCCGAGGAGTGGCAGTTGCGGAGCCGAGGCCCCTGCTGAAAGGAGGCAAGAGGGGGCAGAGGGTAGGTCAACCCCTAAGCCGAGGGTGCCCGCTCCCCGAGGCTCCCCAAGCCGACCCCCCCTGCACTCGCCTTAAAACGCATTTACACAGCTTCGGCCCATAGGTCTCCCCAGCGAGTGAATCGGATCCTCCGCGCCTTCGCTAGCTCGCTCCCCCCGGATCCCGCCCGGCGGCCTGCGCCCCGCGCGCCCAGCAGCCACCGCCCCCCACGCCCCGCCTTCCGCCCGCTGCCGGCTGAAATAAGTCACGCCCAAGCCCCACCCCTGGCGCCCAGGCCCCGCCTCCTCTCACTCCGTAGCCCTGGCAACCGAGTGCCGCTGGCCCATTGGTCGATTCGGACATAAAGCATTCAGCTCTGCCAGCCGGCTAGGCAAAACGGTGCCGCAGTGCTCCTCGCGGAGTCCTCTGGTGGCTACCCACTCTGGGTACTCGGAACCGCAAAGCTGTAGCGTCTACGCGGGCAGGACCCCCTGGATCCTGCATTTTGGCTCTGGGAAACTTTTTCTGTGCCTGGCTGAACTCAACGATGCCTTCTGTCTTCTCCGCCTTGTGAAGTTCTAGCTCATCCTTGGGAAACCCAGATCAAAAGTCAGCACTTTGTATTATTCTCTAATAAAATCCTTTTTATTTAATTGCCTCTTCTAGGCATCTTCTCTGACTCCACCTACTCAAAACCCAGCTCAAATGGGTTCAAAAGGCCTTTCTTTTTGTGGCTTTTCGGGCACAGGACGATTCCCCTCTTCGGGCACAGGACGATTCCCCTCTTCTTTGCCCTCTGAATCCGACCAACTTGTAGTCCTCAAGTAACCTATCTCTGACTTCAAAACATTTCTCCTTTTTCTATACCTACTCCTGCTCTGGCTCATCCACCAAAGTCCAATACACTGTCACCACTTCTGTGGAGCCTTCCGTGGCTTTGCTAGCCCCAAGACACAATGGCACTAACAGCAGTTATGTCTAAGTGGATCTCTTCTTCATTTGACTCTTGCTACCCGTAGCTAAGATTCCCGTTGTTGTGTTCCATTTCTTGGCTGGTGACATGCTCAGCTAGTTCATGACCCCCGAGACGGGCTGAGAGTTTGCCTTTTTAGGGTGCTCAGTGCCTAGTACACACAAGAGTACTCCAGAAGATTCCATAGCTGTGTTACTCAGAAGCTAATTCAAAAATTCATTTGGAGCCAGGTGTGATGTTGCCTTGGATTCAATACTCAGCATCACAAAAGAAAAAAATTTAAAAGTTCATTTGGAACAGTTGTTCCAGAATAGTCAAGCCATTGTTGGTAAAAATAAAAAGAACTTCCTCTACCAGATATCCAAAAAAAATTATTAGGCTACAGTCTTTAAGACAGCATGGTACTGGAACAAGAAGACAGTGGTAGAATAGAACATAGTCCAAAACAGTCTTGAACACATAGGAGAACTTGACCCACAACGAAGGCAGGAGTTCAAATCAGTTGAGTGAAATATTCGTGTGTTCATGCCCCTGCCGCTCTATAGACTTTTTAAAAGACAGGAACACTTTTTGTCCTGTCTCACTATTTCCCTAAGGACGCTGTATACAACTTAATCAGAAATGGGTCAGATGAGGTAGGACAGTGATGGGGAGGGGGCATTTTCTACTATCCATCTAGCTATGCCACGTATGACAGCTGAGTGTACTTAGGGAGTCACTCTGCCTGGACCCACATCACTTCTGCCTGGCTTGATTTCCCCCGGTGAACCGAAAGCATTCAAATACTTTCTCTGGTCTTTCTGCCTGAAAGCTTCATCTTTTCTATGCACAGGAACAGCCTTTCAGAAGACAGCTTGATAAGAGCGTCAGTTGAAGGGCTGGGGATTTAGCTCAGTGGTTCTCAGTTGTTGCAAGCACAAGGACCTGAGTGCTACCCGTGGTTCCAAAAAAAAAAAAAGCTACAGAAAGTCAATTGAAGGCTCTTGCTTTAGGAGATTAGTAGTCATTTGCATGTCGTGTCATCCTTATCTTCTCTCACAGGGAACAAGGTCATCCTACGATACAGATTGGGACAGAGGTAGACTAGGACACCATGGCAGAAACCTGGAAAGATGAGGCTAAAAAGTACCCAAACAACATTGGCTCTGATTTAAATCATTCTTTGAGCTGGTTTCAATGGCTACTACGGTGTGGGTAGGTCTCACCTGCTTTTCTTATCATCTCATATGTAACAGACAAAGAATAGGTATATTTATTATGCTTACTGAATGAATACGCAAGAAGGAATGAACCAAAATAAAGTCTATTTGTGATTTGTCAAGAATAATATGCAAGCAGAGCAGCCAAATCTGTGTTCTGGTTTGGGTATTGAGAAGCCGTGGCTTTATATTTTTCCCTACTAAGTAAGATATCCCACTGAATCACCATGACAATCCTATGTCCTAGAAACTATAGTTGCTTTCATTTTACAGATGTGGAATTTGAAGTCCCAAGATGTTCAGTCATGTCTAGGATTACACAGCAAGCAAGTGTGGAGCCTAGATTCAAAACCTAAATCTGGGCTGGAGGTGTACTTCAATGGTAGTGTTTAAACCCCAGCACTGCAAAAATTCAACCAAACAAAAATGTTCCATAGGTGCATAGAACTAGAGAGTTTGCAAAATACTTTCTTGTCTTTCATTTTATTCAGGCTTCCCCAAATTCTACTCATATTAATTTGCTAGGGCTGCCAGAACAAAGTACTAATTACTAGTGGTTTAAAATAATGGGGATTTATTGTCTCACGGTTCTGGAGGCTGGATGTCTGCAATGAGAATATTGGCAGGCCTATGGTCTCTTTGATAGTTCTAGGGGACTATCCTTCCTTGATTCTTCTAATTTCTATTCTTGATATTCCTTGACTTTGAGTACATTGCTCAAGTCACGTCCCTGTCTTCCTTGTGTGTATTCATATCTTCTTCCCCCTGTATATGTCTATCTCTGAGTCCAAATTGTCCTTTTAACTAAAACTCTAGTTGTAGTGCTTATGGCCCACCTTAATGCCCTCAGTTTAGCTTGACCACCTCTAACAAAGTACCTATTTCTATAGAAGGTCAAATCTGTGGGGGCTAGGATTTTAACATATCTTTCAGGGGGAAGGAACACAACTTCATCCAAATTGCCATCAAATACTTCCTTTCATATCTCTGGCCAAGACATAAATGCATGATGATATCTAGCTGCAAGGGAAGCAGGAAAAGATAGTCTTATTTGGGTGCATTACTATTCCTCCCTTTCCCCAGTAAGCTTAAAATACTTACAGAAAAAGGGAGATTGAATATTGTGCAGTTACTGACCATCTCTGCTACAAGAACAGAAGATTGTTTCTCCCTTTTAAATACCAGTATACATAGTTCAGGAATGATTATGTGATTTACTACATAGGCAGACTTAGAGAAGTAACAAATATCAGGCACCATGCTGAATGTTTAAAAACATAATTGCATTTAGTCTTTACAAAAACCTGTGAAATAGGCATTGATTGCTCCCTTTTACAGATGACAGAATTGAGATTAAGGCTCTCATCCAAAGTTACACTACTAGTGAGTGACAGAACCAGAACTTCACTCTGGTGAGATGTGCCCTGGGGATAGGACATGAAGCCAGAACAAAGAATGCTCAGACTAGAACAAAAGTAAACAGCAGGAGACCTGAGCAGTATCTGGAACTTAAGATCAGATCAGACCCAAGATGAACCAAAAAAAAGAGCACAAATCCAAAGTCATAGCTGTGAATTCCTTGAAGGCATCAGTGAGACAAAGGCTCTAGTGAGACTAGAAGCCAGAAACAGAAATGCAGCCCTATGACTTTTTGAGATTGAACAAGTTAAGGATGAAACCAGTGATAACAGTAGCCGCCATTTATTGAGCACCTATGTTCCAGACCCTGTACTACGTATTTAACAATAGCAGCTCATAGTCCAAGAGTGCTTACTATTGTGCAGGTTTGTTTTAAGATTTATATACAACTTTTAATTCCAAAAACTTTATGAAGTATATGCTCTTAATAAGCCCAAGTTACAAAGAAATAAACAAGCCTAGAAAGGCCAACTAACTTGTTCAAAGTCTCACTGCTACTAAATGACACAACTGTAGACATCTCTACAACAAGACTTTCAGGCAGGACTCTGTATTATTTATTTTCACAATGGAAAAACCAGACCCAGAGAAGCCAAGTGATTTGCCCAAGATCACACAGCGGGTAAGTGCCAGAGACTTGACTCAAACATATGGCTCTGGACTGGCAAGGAGCTTAAAGTGGTGCAGCCTAGGGCTATGTTGAAGAAGAATTTGAGGCTCCAACCCTGGGAACCCCAGACATCAGTGAGGTGTCTGTGACCCGTGACGCAGCAGCAGGCAAGAAGAGGGCTGCTGTGTGCCAGCTCCGAGAAGGCAAAGTTCAAGTACATTGGTTGAGTGGGTGATTGTAGTCACAACGCTCCCCTAAACAGATGCAATTGCTCAGATGTTAAAACCGTAGTTTGGATTTCTTTGTGTTTATTTTCACTCTCTTTTAGGCTGCACACAAATGTGAAAACATAATAATAGTGTGTGACAATTAAGGAATTCACACACTTTCCTTTAAGCCAGACCTGAGTCATTTCTAACAAATGTGATGAGAAAACAACAACCACACACAGGAAGAAGGTAAAAAAAAAAAAAAACAACACTCAGTTGAAAATATTACTTTCTGCAAGCTAGTGTCTTCAGAGCCACCTGGGAGCGGGACAGAAAGGTGGCAGCTTTCCCCTGAATTCTCCGGTGGTTCTCAGGCAGCCAAACTTCCTGGAGGCTCGTTAAAACACAGAGTTCCTGATTCAGTAAGTCTGGGAGACTCTAAGAATGTGCATTTCTGACAAATTCCCAAGTTTTGCTGGTGCCACAGATGCAGCCACCACGCTTTGAGAACAACCAGCCTAAAGGAACTTGAAGCAGAGCAGTTAGA